ATGATAATTCAGAAGGGACGGGCCGAAGGCCCGTCCCAAACGCCGCCGGCAGGCCAAGCTGGGCCCGCTCCCTGCCGAACCGAGTTGCCGGTGGAGCGAAGCAGAGCTGGCAACTTGGTTTGGCGGTAGAGCGGGCCCAGCTTGTTTAGTTTCCCTGGATTCACTTAACCGACCAGCCCGGTTGCGCTTGTCTGGGCACACAGTGTGGCGCGGTGGGGGCTGGTGCTAAACCTGCTCATGCAGCGGTGAGTTAGGGGGAAAACACCAGTAGCAGTGTACAGCAAACTGGAATTAGAAAGAAAGAAAAGACTTTTACGAAGCGTACTGACGCATTGAGTCATGATTATGTTTTAAATTGAACAACAACAGATACAAAGAACGGCAAGTACAAAATTATCCCCCTTCCAACTCGACCCAATGTCCGACAAACAAATGTACGGTGGCGGGGGGTGCCAGCAAGCGTACTCGGCAAAAGGATGGGCGGAAAGCTTGCAAAGGGGCGGAAAAAGCCCGCAGTCAGAAATGGACAGCGTATAGCAGCACCTCGGCGGGCCTCCACCCGATGGGCGCCCCCGGGCGTGGTGGCACGTGGCACAGCACCGCGGCCACCGCCCTCCGCTCCGCGCCCTCCGCGCCCTAAGCGCCCCGGTTACCCAACACAGTCCGGGCATTTCCGTCTCCCAGCGACAGACACACTCATCGGTTTCTAGTTTTAGATGCTGCTTTTCCTCCTCCCCGATCGCGGCGACCCCTCCCCCTGCCCGAGGCAGGCACCCCTCCGCACGCGCCCCCTCCAGCCTTGCCTCCTCTCCGACCCCCACGACCACCCTCGCTTGGCCTATCGCCAATGCATTGACTGACAATCGACATTGTCTCTGATGGACGAAGCGACACCGCTCTTGCGCAATAAGTACTCTGTGAGTCGAAGAAAAAGGGGAGGGGGCTTAAATCCCCATGCGTCAATCGTTCACCGAGTAGGAGGACTGCTCGGGGTTGTGTGCGTCACATGTAAATTTGCAATTTGGAATTGTAACTGTACGACATTTTTCATGGGAAATTTTCCTGTACCTCGAGGGGTGCCCAACTGTGGCTTATATCCACTTCATCATTGAGTTCTGAGGGGTATGGCGGATTTCACGACGCGTGACGCGTGAGTCACGCGGCGTGACGCTACCCTTCCCTCACTTGTCTTGTGCTGGAACGGTCCGGCCGGGCGCCACCAGCCCCGGGAGGATCGCTCCACCGCCTACCTTCCTCCTCCTTTCTTTTCTATTAGGTGCTGGCAACTGTGGCAAATCATTCTGCGTTAAGAGTTAACAAAATATTACCATTAAAAGAAGCATAAGTACTATTTAGAAATATTGGCCATTATGCAATACCCTTTTAGGACCGTTTTTGATGAAAAGTCGTGTTGAGTGTTTTGAAGTCCCTGTGATTTTGTGCCGTATGTTGGCGAGCATCTTTGTTGTGATTGTGTATGTTATGATGTTGTGACCGGCTGCTAGAACGCCTAGAATTTGCATTTTACTTAGAGTTTGTTAAATTCGCGATGGAGTCAAGCATTTCAACCGTGTTCAAGTGCTCACAGTGCGGGAAAGCTTACAAACAGGAGACGTGGTATAAGAAACATATCTTGTTTCACCATGGTGAGTTCATGTGTATGGGGGTTAACGTACTGTAAACTTTTGGTATACATTTTTATTTAGTTCATTGTTTTCCAGGTACACCGAAGGATCAAGGTACCAAATCTGACTCCATGAAAAAACAAAGACCTGAAGAAAATCTGAACAAAACAATGGACAAGTTAGCAGTTAATGTAAGCA